GTGGCAGAAAGTCTTAGTTTTACAGTAACAGTATCTGTTGCATATAAGGGATACATATACCAGATTAAAGTGATGAAACAAAGCAATAAACCAGCATGTTGCCACTCAGCTGAGGAGCAGGCTGCAAAGCTAACTTGCCTTCCTATGTGCAAACCATATGGAAAGCTGTGCAGGGTTGAAGCAGTAGACCTGTGAGCCAAGTGTAGCAGGTTGCATAACAAGTGCTAATTTGGTTAGCTGGAGCTGATGGCGGCTGTAATTCTCCAGCACTATGACAGCAGAGCTGTGTTAGAGAGAGAGAGAGAGAGAGAGAGAGACTCCACAGGCTTCCAGCTGGATAATACAAGCTAATAGCATAACAGGCTTTTGCAGAACAAACACAGGCCATGGCCAGAGCTAATTGTGTTGTTCATCACAGCCTTTTGGTGACAGACCGTTGCTGCAAAGATGACAGTAAAGAGGTTAAGCAGCACTGTGGCCAAAATGCATATTATGGCTTGATTAAGTCCATTCTGATGCCCATTTGTTACTCCGATCCTATTCTCACCACGAGACTCTGGAGATGAATCAAAGTCACGTAATGACAAGTTATTAAATTCAGGAAATAACTGAAAAATGTTAAAAGTTTATAAATATCCTTTTGTCCACATGCGATCAAAGAGAGGTCAACACAGCTGAGCTTCTTGTGTTTTGGTTTAGCATCACATCTGTGGCTGAGAGAGAATGGTTAGATTAAGAGTAAAAGCAGATGACAGGGCTGCTTTTGAAAAACTTGTCATTTTTAAGAGTTACTTAAGTCATTTGTGGCTTAAGGGTAATTTTTGTGCAGTCTTAAGATGAATGATTGAGCAGAATTTGTAATTAGTTGATATGCTACCCTCCCTGAATGACTGTGGGTGCTTTTGTTCATATTCACAAATTAGTCATATGTTTCACATAACATTATAAGACATGGGCGGAATCTCACAGTTTCACAAGAAATTTGATGCATAATTGTGAACATTGCAAATTGCAGATGGGCTGTTTTTGCACATCTTATATGGGATTATATATTTTGCGTTACTGGCCAGGATTATCAGCCTATGCGTCTAACTTGTGTAATGTGTTAGACGCATAGGCTGTGTACTGTAAACCAGCTCTGAGCTCGGTGTAGCTGTGGATGTCTGTGTTACCATAGAGCTGCTTAGTAACAGAAATTAATCACAGTCAGGAAGTAGGCCGTCTCTCTGTGTGGCTCTCATTGACTTTCTGTAGCTCCCTCTCACTCTTCCCTCTCTCTATCTAACAGACACTCAGTGTGTGTGTGTGTGTGTGTGTGTGTGTGTGTGTGTGTGAATGTGTGCATGTGAGTGTGTATGTGCGTGCTTGGCTACCACAATGTCTATTATGCAAATAATTAACAGTGTAACCCTCCATTGCTAACTACAAAGTTTGGTCTTTACACAATTGCCATGACTCTGTAGGTGCAAATATGTGTTTCTTTGTTTTTGCTGAAAGCAAAGTTCAAGTCACTTTGGGGGCCCATTGTTTATTTTTTAAAACAGCCTTTAGAAATTATTTGCATGTTCTTTCCTTTGAGAAAAGGCTGTTTCCGAAAGGGAGAAAACAGTCCAACTGGTTAATCTGTATTTTACTGGTGCTTCAGTGTGCATCTTACTGTCTTGGCTTGTTCTACTTGAGGTCCTGGGTAAAATGACTGATAAAACTGTACTCTTTGCAGTACCTAAGTTTGCAGTGCACAAAGTGGGCTGGGTGACAGCCACAGGATTTTTCTGTCATCGTGCATGTGCGCAGGAAGAACATTTGTGCTTGCATGTGTGCTTGTGCAATTCACAAAGGAGTTGGGTAGAGATCAGCTGTCCGTCTCTCCTCCACAGACACCGACACACTCTGATGCACACACAAACTGACAAATGCACACATACGCACAGCTATCTCAGCGGTGGCAGGTGCATGTTAAAGTGCAGTGTGGTTTGAGTGTGCTGTGTCCAACTGACTGAGAATGCTGCTGCCACACGCACACACACAACACACACACACACACACACTAAGTAACAGTGAACAAATCGGGGGGAAGAGCCAGCAGATGTTTCAGATTTGGCCACTGACCAAAAAAACTAACTTCTTCTTTTTAGTACTTTTCATTTGGTGTTCTTGATTACAGTAACTACACACACACACACACACCACAAGCATGCAACACATTACCACTGTGCTAACGATCTCGATTTGGTAGGTTTGACTCTTCCATTTATTTCATCTATTTTAACTTGTTAAACTTTCAAGCTGCAACATGTTGCATTATACACATCATCATGTTTTTAAAACTGGTCGGTCAACCCTGTCCATGCACACAGTGAGCAATGCATGCGGATACCGAGTACTGATACCAGTTAAATGACTGGACTGTATTCTTTTACTACCAGGAAGCAATTGGGAATTGCTCTTTTATCTGCAAGGCAATGTCAGACTTGGCTTTGCTTTCCAGACTTTGTAAAACAAATTGTAACAGGCTTATTAAGTCTAGTAATAAATGACAAGACAACCAAGATGAATTCAATCAAAAATAAAAATAAAAAGTGTGCATGTCATTCGCCGAATCTTTTTTGCACTAGTTTCATTTCAGCTCAGATTTAGAATCTTCCCTGCCCACAGCTTTCATTTCATACTAGTTTCTCCTTTCGCTGCTCTCAGTCTCGCCGTGAGCGCACCTACACACAAACACAGATGCACATGCACACATGTGTTTACATGGAGCTGACAAGGGGCAGGCGAGGTGAAATAATATTAATCAAGTTGATAAAATGTGTTATGTTAATGTATGTGAAATAAATATTTCCTAATAAGTGTTAGACTGAACATTGCAAGAGGGAGAGTGCAAGAGCAAGTGAGAGAGAGAGCTATGTTAGCTCTCCTGCTAGCAAACCAGTGCATTGCTGCTGATTCATACTTTATTAAACACACAACAACATAGGCTTGGATTGCATAGATTGGCCCAGCCGTCGGCTTTTTGAGCCAGGATCAGTCTGATGTTGGATCAGTACATCCCTGTGGCCGCATCAGCCTTTATTCCTATTTTGTGACATATTCTTTTGTTTGATGCTTCACATTATGTCTCTAAAGGAAAACAAGTTTCAGCTTCCTGCATCGAACGCTGAATTTGTTTAAACATAAGTACATGAATGTTCAAATGTGGGCAAAGCCCCAAACCTCAGTATTAGTGAAATTGTATTTATAACTTATTTACGACTATGTGAGAAGTGGAAAAGAACAAAGTCACAGTAACAGTTCTTGTCAAGGACTTTTGGTAAAGATGTGCAGAAAATTATGGAAAAATACTGAACGCTTCACTTCTACAGTCAGAGGATTTTGCAGGTCTGTTATGCTGTTGCACTGGACGTGTCGCTTCTGTGTTGAATTCTTAGGGCACGAGATGGTAAATCGTCACTCAAACCCACAATGTGGGGTTTTCCTTTAATTTGCCATCCCTATTAACACTGAGGGGGGAAGAGGATGTGATTCAACACAGAGAGTATGTGATGCATAATAGTTCCTGAAAAAAATGAGTTTTTACTTGATTACAACAGATATATATGTGAGGGGGGGGTGACTGAAATCCAGTAAACAGGTAGGCTCTTTCTGTCTTTCCACAGCAGCAGGACATGTGACCTACACTTTGGACTTTACACACACGCACATAGTTGCCTGCAACATGAAAATGAAAGGGCACGCTGTAAAATGGTTCTGAAATATCTGATCGTTAGGGAGGGATTTAAGTAGATTTCCACTACACTTCAGCTGTTCAAATAAAAGGAGACCAGTTGTTTCATAAAATAGGATGTTTCTTGAATATGAACCAAAGCCAGTGGGAACTCGATGAACCTGGAGCAGCACCATACTGTTCCAGGTCAACCTCACGGTGTGAAAAAGGCCTCCGAGCTCTCGGAATCTTCCTCCCAGGCAGGGTCATTGTCTGGGAAAAGCTGCAGGTATCCTTGTTATTGTGGGCAGGAGTGCGATTTCCAGCATAACTGGTGGGTGATGATTGAGGTTAAATTCTGCTAAATGATTTTACCCTGTAAAAGACGGCAGCATATTTAGCAAGCACACACTCTTACACATTTGATCTAGGCGTGCCCTGCATCTGTACTTGATGATGGGTTGACTCTTGTGGTAAAATGAAGTGATGTGTTTCACTTAAGTGTGTCTCATGCCTGGAAAGTGATAATTATTCATGCACTTTAGCAACTCAATGTGATGTCAAAAAATGTTCATTCAGTACTTACGGGAATGTCTCATCAGTGTTTGTGTTTGTATGCCTTTATTTTTTTATATTAAAGTTACATTACTAGTTTTGGGAAGTTCTCATCCTGTGAAAATACGCTTTATGTTTCCGAGAAAATAACCTGATGATGTCACTGGGGTTGTTATACCTCTGAGGCTGGAGACTAAACATTATTTTATAAACACTGGATTTTGAAGGACACATTTCCGTTTACATCTTCATAGTCACACGAAATACATTGACGTATGCTAATTTGCGTTATGAGAATGATCCAGTGTCTTAAGAGCTTTGTCTGTATTAGGGATAAAAAGCTTCGCCAACTTGGCTAATGTTGCGTTGATTTTTGGCCATTTCCAGTTTCTTACAATTTTTCTCAGTTTGTGCCTAAGCTGTTCATTATACATGCAATAATTCATTGTCCACGTGTCTGTATTTCTACAAACAAGATGACATACATACATTTTATGGTCTTTCAATCTGGGATCCTGTTTTCCAAGTATTACATTGTAATAGACACAGTAAACATAGTAATAAAAGGCTGAAAGAAATGTTATTAACGAAAAAAGTATTATTAAAAGAAAAGCAAAGAAACAAAGATTGTACAGATTCTGGGATCAGCTGTCAGACACATTGCTATTTAAGAAATCTGTTTCGGCCCAACCTTTCAAACACAAACCTAACATTTATCTTTGTTTTTGTTTCATGTGTCTCACAGAGATAACTGAATGATGTTGCCATATCTTTATGGATGTTTACCCATGATGCTTTGCAAATCAGGTAAGCAGAATCTTTATGTTAAGATAGTGTTTTGCTGTATTACAATAGGATGCAATACAAATATAGCATATATCAGTACACATATATGTTATATTACAATACAAGTGATACAGAAAAAAAATTATTTAGGGATGCAGTGGAGTTCAACATGCAGATGCACAGATTCTATAAAACACAGAATTTTATTTGAGGTTTTTTTTGGTTTGTATGTTTGGTTTTGTGCTAAGTGAAGCAAATCTCTGTTTTAACAACACAACTGGCCTGTGTTTCACCTTTTCATCACATCCAACATCAATTTATCCGGTGCAAAACTTGGGTGTTACATCAGATATATTGACCACTGACCAAGTTAAATCCCAACTTACTTGCCAATATACTGACATTAGCAGTGATGATATTGGCCAGTGACAATGGTAGACCATTGTACTGTAACGGCACTCTTGTTTGATTTTCTATAACCAAATATAATTAAATTGCATTTTGCATGGCCAATTATTAGTGCCATGGCATCAGGAAAAGTACATTTGCAGGAGAAGTTCAAAGGTCATTCCTCAGTCTGCGTATTTGTGATGGATTTCAAGTCCTTTAAGATTCAGTTCAAGTTTATTCGGTGTGCTACACATGCACCCTTCAACCGGACTTAAGGGTACTTTCACAGCACTATGACAGGACTACTCATCCACGTTTGCAGCTGTGCACGTCAGAGTATAATCACCTTCTAACACGGCAACTTGCAGAGTAGAAAATGCAAAAAAGAAAACAAAAACCCCAAAGTTTTCAGTTTCACGGCACTCATCATTCTGCCACTGTGAGCTTAACCTTTAAGCTCTTAAAAAAAACAACCATTTGAACATTTGGTTGGGATCATTGAAACTTAAAACATGAAACTAAACCAAAAGGAGCATCACTGGATCAAAGGTAAGGAACACCGTCAGACATTATTTACAGCAGTTCATAGAAACCACAACAGCTCATAAAGCAAAACAGGGACATCCTGACATAAGAACATGGAAAGTGAAAACACAGAAGGATCGTATGTTTTAAGCGAGGGTGACAGTTAACCTAGTAATTTTTGTGTGAGTATGGGGTAGCTGTATGTGTGCGCAAAGCTCTTTAGCCATTTGTAAAATTGTGTTTGTCTCTTTTTTCTGTGACTCATTTCACTTGTGTGTGTGTGTCTGTGTTTTTGCCGTCTCCCTTCATGTAGGGCTTATTATACAAGCAGGGACAATGCTTATTATGCAAGTGCTGAATGTAATAGTCTTTCTCTGTCACTCACTGGCTTCGCTGTTTCTGACAGACATCTCTTTCTGCGTCAGTTTTGAAAGTTGTGCGCAAGTTTGAATAATCGAAAATGTATGTATGTATTTATTTTTTTGTTCTTCTTGTTTGCCAAAAATAGACAGAAATATTCAGGCACCCGTAAATTCTGACAGCACTCACATTTCTCATTTTGCCAAACATTGGCAGTTTTTTGAACATCTGCATGTAAGCATTGTAAGTTTGTGAAAAGTGTTGTAACTAGTGATAAAGTAACACATTTTGTACTTTGACTGTTTGGTAACAAATGTCATAGACATAGACAGTGTATTTTTTAAAATAATAAAAGCCATCCAGAATTACAGAACAATAGGCCATGTAAATCATCCAGTGCCTAGAACGATTGTGAGCGAGAGGAGGGAGGAGTGTGTTCCTGTGTTGTGGGAGGAGACAGGGAGGAGAGTGTGTATGTGTGTGTTTCTACGTGATGGGGGGAGGGGAAAACAAGCGAGAGAGGGGGAGAGAGAGAGAGAGAGAGCAAAGGGGAGGGAGGGAGTGAGTGAGAGAGAGAGGATTTGCGGCATGTAGTTTGTCAGCTGTCATTAGAGGCAGATGACACACACATACACACACACACACACACACACACACACAGGAATAATCTCACAGAGAAGCGAGGGGAAATACAAAACGAGTGTATGGTTGTGCGTGTGTGTGTGTGTATGCTGTGAAAACCAGTGTGTTTGCCCGGCCGGCATGGGATGTTTAGCCGGCTCTGGACCTGTTATGGACTGTTTTAACCAAAGCAAAGGTAAGCAACGCTCAGACTCTGATCTGCTTCGTTCTGTTTCATGCTGACAGCAGATTAAAAGGCAAAGTCTATAAGGTTGGTTGACACACTATATTTAAGAAGAACACACTCTTTTTTTCCATATGTCTCAGCTGATGACATTAAACAGAAGCAATGTTTAGCAGCGTCGTCAGCTACTTCTTGTTAACTTGAATCAATCAGAAGTTATGTCCCGCTTTAAAGCACCTGTCAGTCACTCGTGCTATGATTGGACATATCTGAGCTAATGTTTATTTAATGTGAATGACAGAAATTAACTTTATATTATATTATCCCTGTTTCTTTATTAGCCAACAGTGATGAGTTCTGATGCTGACAGTAGGTGTGACTATCCCAGTCATACTTGGACTTTGGGCTGTCATGTATTGTTGTTGTGGTTTTGTGTGTGCGAACGTGTGTGTTTGCATGTGTGTGCATGTTGCAATGGGAGTGGTTATGAATGACTGGCCACACACGCAGAGTGCACAGTCAGCAGGCCCGAAGCTGCTCTGTCACCTGAGGTCTAACCAGCCAACTGTTTACTCAGTTTTGTGCGCTTCAATAACAACTGTTGGTAAAACTCACCCGGAAAGCAGCAGGTTGGCCGAGTGTAAAATTCACAGGTTCGTGAAGTCGCTTTGCAAATGCTCGGTTTCGTAATGACGAGCTCGCAGTTAAAGGGGAAAAAAAGGGGTGGACTTGTTAATATTCTTAGCTAGTGAGGTGTCAGTTCAGTTTTAATCATTTTAACTAATTTCCCAGCGGCAGTTTTTACACAGGATATTAAATTTCAGTAGAGGAACACTGAAATAAATCTTCAGTGTACCAGAATGTTTCGTTTCTGAGTGAGCACAGCGATCCACGTTTGAAAAATCCACGACTGCTTTTCTCACAAAGGCACACATACCAGCGCCAAACTTGAGCAATCTTAGAGGTTAAACTTTGAAAGACAACTTTCTGAAGCACAATTCAAACAGCTGGCATTTCATGGGGTCACTGGGCTGTGACTGCATGTTAATTTTCACACAGACACTAGCTGCTTCTGCTGATAAGTCACTCAGGGAGCTGAAGGTGGAGTTTGACCTCCGGGCCAGTAGAACAACGTGAAACTCCTCTGCTATCTCTATCTAGGTGTTTTTGCTTTCACTTTGTGTGGCTTTTTTAAAGTTGCCTACCTCACCGGTGAATTCGTCTAATCATGTCTGATATGAGCTGTGGTGTGTTCCCATGTCATAAAAAGGGATTTACTGCTAACTGCAAAGAACTGCATTTGATTCCATCACACAGTGTTTAGTGATGAATTTGCTTCTGCCACGATTATCTGCTGTTTAAATTGGACAAAAGTGGTGAGGTTTGTCTTGAATTCTGCATATGTTATACAATGAAGAGGGACCACATCACTCCAGACGTGGGAACACTGTACTGGCTCCCTGTATCTCTCAGAATTGATTTTTTTAAAAGTCACCTTGCTCAAAGGCTTAGGACCAGCTACTGCTTTGTGTCCTTTCTACTGCTGGGTACCCAAAATCACACCAAAAATGAGAACTGGAGACGCTCCCTCGTTTTCAGCTAATATCCTACTTGATGACATTAGTGATTTAAACATTTAAACACCCCTTAAAAGCAGGGCTTCTCCTGTCACAAACTGTTATGACAGAATGCCTTTGTGTGTTGTGTAATCGTTATCGTTACTTGTTTGCTCTTTCATCAAACCTGCATCCTCATTCTTTTAGTGCCGCACGTGTTGCGTGAAAGGTGCTGTACAACCAAAGCAGTATTACACTACAGTATACTGTCAGATCAAAAGAGCTTTGAATGGCTTTTCAGAAGAGTTTCAAACCACCGGCCCTGTACTGTGAACTTGAAACTTGAGCTGAGAAGAGGCAGAAATCATATTTAGGAGTCCAGATTTCTCCACCGCATGATGACATAAAACAATCACTTTATTTCCGTCTGTGTCTCGGCAAGCACCACTTTTATATTTTGTGTTTGTTTTTAATGTATGTAGGATGATTCTGCACATTAGAGGAACGTAAGTTCTCCTTTGGTGTCTTTCCTAAACTGCAGTGGCCGAGGCGGCCCCGATGTTTTTGTTCTGTGCTGTTAAGCAGCCGCTCAGTTTCAGTGTTTACAGCAGAAACTCTTTTGTGTGTGTGTGTGTGTGTGATTATCATCATGTTTGTCCATGTAGAAGCATGGCGTTTTTGTTTGTGTTTTTGTGTGCGTGTGCATTAGTGTGTGTGTGTGTGTGTGTGTGTGTATGTACTCACAATTGAGTTAGCATCCGGGCAGGCATGTTCAATGTTATTGATTCCTGTCTATAATCGATCACGCTCTCACATTACATGAAGCTGCACATGCCGAGTAATGAGCAGCTGCTGGCTATCTAGCCAGCTAACAAGCCATCTGTGAACAGTTTATTTAGAGTTATTATTTTTAATGTCCCTCCATTTTGATGCTATGATAATTACTCTGGCGTTTCTGCACTGCACTTGCATCAGGTCATCTTTCACTCAGCTGATTTTCTTGGATTTCTGTCAATACAGTTGAGTTTCTGCTTGTTTTGCCTCTTGTTCCCTTTTCTAACTTTGGGAGAATTATAGAGAATTTACTATTAAACTCTATTTCAAATTTGATCTGATCATTCTAATTGTAATCTATTAGTAACAACAAGATTTTTCTGGCAAAAAAAAAAAAAAAAAAGGGGAACAGAAAGAAGACTGGGCTGAGGTGGCTGAGCTATGGTGGTGGGGGTGATTATTTAGACAAAAAAAGGAGTGCTGGTTGAAGTGAGCCAGTTTGTACAGCTTGGTTTTTACGGGGACTCACTTCTCAACACACAGAAAGGCATTTGCTTTTCATTCCAACACAACAGCGTCAAAAAGTCTTTGGAAACTTTGACACTTCAATA